TATCAAGATAAAAAGATTTAGGTTTTCAAAATAACATGTAAGTAATTCTACCTGGAATTTAGGTATTTAGTAATAAATAAGTAAATCTATAATAATAAAAGTGTAATGTGCTAATTAGACTGGCCATCCTTCCGGATGAAGCCCGGGCTGCCCCCAGCCCTCAGAGCCCCTTGCATGAATTTCGTGCATAGGGCCTCTAGTACATAAATAAATAAAATGGCAGACCTGTTCCCACCAGTTTTACGGCCTGTTCCTACTGGTTTATCTGAGATTTTGGGCTCTTGGTTAAAACATCCTTATCATTTTGTAGGCTGTGCCAAGACAGGCATTTGGCTCTAGCTAAAATTTACTTTAAAACCAGCCAAAAGATTCCTGTGTAGTTAAAATAAGTGAATTGCTTTTCCAAGAGTCAAAGAATTCTTGGAAATTACTTCTTGGGACAATAGAATGTGAGTCCTCCCAAAGAGCCCTCCCCCAAAACCTTTGTTTTTAGCATACCATATACTGACTTTCATCTAAATTCAAGCAACGACATCATTTTTACATATGCTACGTATTGTTCACAGGCATAGCAAATTACAGATAATGAATTCATTTAATCATCATACCAATCCCGTGAAGCAGGTATTATTAGAAAACTGAGATAAGAAAAAGTTAAGTAAGTTGCCCAAGGCCACACAGCCAGTAAATAACAGAGGTGGGATGCAAGCCCAGGCAATCTGACTCTAGGATCCACATTCTAACTGCACCCTTTCTCTATGTTGGCATACTCTGTAATTCTTAGTCATTTCTGCCCAAATTCCAAATTCCCTTCATATTACAAATTTTCCATTTGTGCTAAAATTTGGACACCCATAATGCCCAAAATCCTAAATGACAAAGGGCTAGCACCTCTGACTCTGTTGCTCTTAGGGTGAGTATTAAAATGAAAAGAAAATATATCACTGATTAAGAGCAAGGACCTGTGGGTCATCTAGTCTTGGGCTCCAGTCCTGGCTCTATTCTAAACTGAATATGAGATCTCAGTCAATTACCTAACTTTTCTAAGCCTCAGTTTCTTTATCTGTAAAATGGAGCTACCAATATTTGTTCCTTCTCACTTTGTTCTGCTTGAATATTAAATCATAAGCAGAAAATACTTGGGAGCTTAAAATAGGTTTTAGAATACTCATTTCTCAGGGTTTTTGTCATTATTAAATAATATAATACATGTGATATGCTTAGCATGGTGTTGCCATAGTTTGTGTTTATCTAGATCAGTGGTTCTCAACCTTCCTCATGCCGCGACCCTTTAATACAGTTCCTCATGTTGTGGTGACCCCCAATTTCATTGTTACAAATTGAACATAATTAAAGCATAGTGATTAATCACAAAAACAATATGTAATTATATATGTGTTTTCCGATGGTCTTAGGCTAGATTAGCAGCTGAGCCCTGGTCAGTGTGAAAGGGTCGTTTGACCCTAAAGGGGTCGCGACCCAGAGGTTGAGAACCACTGATCTAGATGCACAGAAATAAAGAATAGGGCTTGCTTAAGGCAAAGATAACACTTTTTCCTAAGGAAGTTATATGCCTGGACTGTAACTACTCACCATGTGAGGAATTTATGATCAGATCACCCTGTGAGGTTACTTTTGGTTACACTTATGGCATCTCCTTTTGGACCACAATAGTGTGTTTAGAAACATTATTCATAATAGTCTCAAGTTGAAACCAACTGAACTGTCCATGAACAGTAGAACAGAAACATAAATTGTGGAATATCTATAGAATAGAATGCTCCCGAACAATGAAAAAGAACTACTGATTCTATGCACCAACACGGTGAACCTCCCACACATAATGTTGATGAAAAGAGGTAGGCACAGAAAAAGTTACACTCTAGTTTCCGTTTATATGAAGTGCAAAACAGGTAAACTCATCTACAGTGTCCACAGTTAGAAAAAGACCTTTCAGAAGGTTGCTGACCTGGAGGGGGCGGGGCACAAGGAAGCTTTCTGGGGCGCTGGAAAGGCCCTATATCTCGATGTGGGTACTATTTACACAGATTGCTGCATATGTAAGACTTCATCAGACTGTAAGATTATTTGTGCATTTTATTTATTTTAAATATATTTGTAGTGGTTTCAGAAAGGAAGGCAGGGGGAGAGAGAGATAGAAACATCAATGATGAGAGAATCATTGAAGGATTGCTTCCTGCACACCCCACACAGGGGATTGAGCCTGCATCTCCTGCAAGCCCCACACAGGGGACTGAGCCTGCAACCGGGCACGTGCTCTGACTGGGAATTGAACCATAACCTCCTGATTCATAGGTCAGCGCTCAACCACTGAGCAACACTGGCCGGGACTTATTTGTGCATTTTAAATTGCAGTTTAAGTATCACATTAGGGTTGAGAAGCTCTGCCTTAGAATTTCAGTATTTCTCAGACCAATAGCTGATGTAGTCTTTATCTTCAGAAGCTTCACTTTTCTGGCCAAGACCACTTACCTTCAATGATTTGGTCAACATGTTTAAAGGCTTGCTCTACATTTCCCTGCTCAATTTTTTTCTCATCAGCAAGAAATGAATTGTGCTCTAGGGCTTGCTGCAGGGGAAAAAGAAATAACAACAACCAAAAATAAGATTCTTGTTTTTATTTTTATTTTTTTTACATTCTAATAAGCCATTCAAACCCCAGCAAAATCCCATGCTCTGCTCTATTTGATCTTCACACACCAAGACAATTGGGTTACAATGGATTGCAGGCATTGGTGACTACTTACTAGTAGTTCTGTTCAGCACTGGGAGGAAGAGCTGGGGGGAAGAAGGACATATAAAACACAATCCTACCCTCTGGTTTGCTGACAGTAGGCAGTTTGGTGTTCGGGGGCAACTTTGTGATGAGGGGGAAGATAATAGATCAAAGAGAGGCCAGGAGGAGGAGTCTGCTGGGCTGGCGATGCTCAGGGGTGGCCTGTGTAGGTGACCTCAGGTGCTGAATTGGACAGGATTAGGGCAGACAGAGAAGAGACTGACAATCATTTGAAGTTAAGAGCACCTCATAAAGCAACAGAGGTTGAAACCCAGCTGAGGGACCAAAATGAGAACAAGGCTAGATTGGCTGGGGAGTTTTCTATCAAGAAGTAGCTGAGCCCTGGTCAGGGTGGCTCAGTTGGTTGAGTGTGGTCTAGTGCACTGATAGGCTACCGGTTCGATTCCCTGTCAGGGCACATGCCTGGGGTTGCACGCTCAATCCCCATTGCAGGAGGCAGCCAATCGATGTCTCTCTCTCTCTCTCTCTCTCTCTCTCATCAATAAAAACATATTTCTTAAAAAAAGAATCAGTTCTGCCATGGCCAGGTAGCTCAGTTGGTCAGAGCATTGGTTTCGGGTTCAGTCCCCATTCAGGGCATATACAATGATCAAACAACGAATGCATAAATAAGTGGAACAACAAATCAGGACCAAACAATGAATGCATAAATAAGTGGAACAACAAATCAATGTCTCTTTGTTTGTTTTCTCTCTTTCTCTATAAAAATAAACAAATAGATAGATAAATAAGCAGTTGGATGAACTTGAAAGATAGAGTGAGGTTGGACTATGAAAGACGTTGAGTTTTATACTAAGGACCTTATCTAAGGGGACATTGTGTTTTTTTGTTTTTGTAAGAAAAAGTGATCTGATGAACTTTGTGGCCTAGAAAATTAACACAGTAGGTAGATATTTTGAGATAAAGTGGTTATTGTAGTAAATCTGACAATAAGGTGGTGAGGACTGGGCTGAAGGGTGGGAAGGGGGGAAAGTGAGAAGAGAAAAAAAGGGGCACATCTAAGAGGCATTTAAAAGATAACTGGAAAAAAATTGAATTTGGCATCTGTTTGGAAAAACAGGGGAGAATCAAAGAGGATTGTGAACACTGTACCCTATTGGCCAGGGTTCATATTGCTTATGCATCTATCCCTCCATCACACATTTATTGAGTACCCACTATAGGTTTAGGGCTTGGCTGGGCACCAGGGATATAAGCACCATGAACATGTTCTTGCCCTCATTAACAACAGCAACTAAAATGAAATCACAGCTAACATGTATTCAAAGCACCCCATGTCCTAAGTGCTTTTTTAAAGCACTTTATTTGGATTCTCTCATTTAAGCTTCATGATGACCTTTTGATGTAGGAACTTTCATAGTTCCCATTTCACAGAGGAAGAGGCTGAGATACGATGCATTTAAGGAACTTGTCAAAGCTTCCATTTAACAGCCTGTTGAATGGCAGAGTCAGAATATGAATCTTAGTTTTCTATCTCCAGAACTTGTGCTTAAAGTAGGAAGTAGACATGAAGGTCAAGAGGACCCAAGCTGTCACTCAGTCAATGGTAACCTGCTCTGAGTGTCACAGTGCTCTGGACTTTCTCACAGACTCATTTTGTATGTGAGGGCATAAGGATCTTCCTCTGGTGCTGCTTGTCTATATTCTCAGGCCAGGCATTGGCAAGAGGCCTTTCGAGGAGACGTGGACCCAGGAACGAATGGGTCTCCAGGCAGGAAAATTCTCAGTATCATGTCTCAACTTGGAGATGACACTGAGTAAAGCATAGATGAAGCCCAGGTTGTACTATTCTGTGACTCTGGGGATTGGATTCTGCCACAAGGACATCACCCTAGTCAATCTTGGAGAAACAAAGCAGCTCGAATACCTCTATTGTGATAATCCGAGGTTCTATGTCTTCATAAGCAATCCTCACTTTCTTAGCGGCGTCTTTCGCATGGGCATAGGTATCAGCGGCCACGGTGCAGACGATCTGACCCACGCAAATTACCTGCAGAAAAGTCGCATGTTCAATGTAATTGGTTGAAACATAGAATCACTAAAAAGGATTTACTGTTCCCAAGTTCTTACATTTACCCCCTGGGTTCTTGTGAACAAAAGCAAGATTATTTCCTGCCTATGGGGATACATTTAAAACAATGGCTTGAGTGGGACTGAGGGGGTTCAGAATTGGATGCAGAACTTGATTATGTCTGGCCTAGGACTGTCTTCAGCTGCACTGCTCACTGTTTCAAAATCACTAGCGGGGATCCAGCCATCCTGAAATTCCTGAAGTTCTGTTGGTTCTCTTAATGGCCAATGCTTTTATTGCTTCTGGGACTTTTACGAATTTTTTTTAGAAGTCTTCCTCAAGCACGATTATGGTTTTTATGAGAACCTCAAGAGTCCACAATTGAAAATGAGGTGGAGTCCTTGGTTCTCTGAATGTCTTAGTGATATGGCATTTTCCAAAAGTATTTGAATCCTAAGCCACATACAAATCACACACCTCGTTCTGTGCATAGAGAACCTCTCCATTATGGTTATTATCTCCCGGAACGTCCTCTGCTGTTATCACATCAACAACACCGGGGAGTGCCAGGGCTTCTGAAACATCAATTGCTCTAGGAGAGAACATGTAAAAGTACACATTAGAGTTGCAGAGGTAAGTTCAGGGTACACTATACATGATTCCGCCAACACTGGGGAAAAGTGCAATGGGCCTCATAACTACATCATGGACAATACATTGGTATTCTGACTCTTGGCCATAGGTTTTTTCATAACTATGCTTTAAAAATGAATGATTCCCATCCAGAAGAGGAAATACTTTTAATTGACTTACACATATAGTAAGCTTTCAGTTTAAGTATAAAATTATTAATGCATTTCAGTAACTTTTATAGGGACAGCTTTTATTTCCTTACATGATCTTTGCATGAGCTCTGGTGCTGGTAACTACCGCCAGGAAGAGTTCTTGGGCGACAGGGGGCATGTCATCAACGTACACGGCTTCCCCAGTGGCATGTTTAATGGCTGACTTGTGCATCATGGGGTGGCCGACTGGATCTTGAGGAGGTTGGTGGGGATTCACACACTGTTCATGAAAAAAGCCTGTTATTTTACTGCCAGACATTCTCATGCACTGAACATTGGGTCTGTTATATTTTGATTACTTACAAGTCAAGGAAAACTACGGGCGACTGGGTATCTCTAGCTATGAGTCAGAGTTAATAAATATCCATTGAGTATTATGGCAAGGAATATATTCTTGGTTACAGGCTCTAACCGACTCCTGCCCCCGACCCCTCCCACACACAAGATGACATTGTTCCTGCCCTCAAGGATTCTACAACCTTGTTGAGGAATCAGAACACATACATTGACGTAATGTGATCAATTTCATAGAGTAATAAAGAATAATTTACACAGCTAATATGGTGTTAGGAAAACACACAGTTTCCTGGGAGATTTGGGGTGGCTCTTATAAAGCAGGGAGGACTTCCTAGAAGCAGTAAATATATTGAGTGAGGTTTTTAAAAAAGGACCAACAGTGGCCAAGGAAAGGAGGAAATTGTAAGTAAAAAAGCTGGAAATAGTAAAGAAGGGAGATTCAAAATCAAATTCCTTGGGTAGTCTTGAGTAAAAACATAAACGCTAAACCAAGCAAGTTGTGTTTGGGTGACAATGGGTCACATCAGTTGGTTTCAGTAGACTGTATCTTTACATGTACCACAAAATATGGCTATGAAAAGGGGGAAATACATGCGTAATGCATACATCTGAAGGACTAAGCCTATTAGAAAGCAAAAACCCTACCCACCAACCTGGAACATCTGAAGTCCTTGTGGTGTTCCTATGGGGAAATTGTCTACAGCACTCATGAAATTTTCTGGGATGTCAGGAAACTTCTGGGGATCCTAGAAAGAAGATTACTTGACATTCAATTTTACAATTTGACTGACTAGCTTGGAAACACGTGTAGAAGTATTTCAGATATTAGATGCCAGTTCTGCGGGGAGAGCCCTGAGCTTCAAGTTCCCTAGGCTGGTAGCAGTTATTTGAAGAATAACTACATCTACTTATGTGGTGGGTGACAATGGGTCACATCAGCTGGTTTCAGTAGACTTTATCTTTACATGTAACACAAAATATGGTTATTGAAAAGTGGGAAATACATGCGTAATGCATACATCTGAAGGACTAAGCCTATTAGAAAGCAAAAACCCTACCCACCAACCTGGAACATCTGAAGTCCTTGTGGTGTTCCTATGGGGAAATTGTCTACAGCACTCATGAAATTTTCTGGGATGTCAGGAAACTTCTGGGGATCCTAGAAAGAAGATTACTTGACATTCAGTTTTACAATCTGAGTGACCAGCTTGGAAACACGTGTAGAAGAATTTCAGATATTAGATGCCAGTTCTGCAGGGAAAGCCCTGAGCTTCAAGTTCCCTAGGCTGGTAGCAGTTATTTGAAGAATCACTACATCTACTTATGTGCACAGAAAAGTGAGTGCTTTTTCCAGGAAGGGAAGAACTCCCTTCATGACCAGGTCTCCTTTTTAAATGAGTAGAAGTATGTATATACTTCTAAATGGATCTGTGCTTTCAAATCCAAGCCAACCTCTTGGGCATGTACCTCAAAGAAACAACTGAGGGAGTAGGCAAAGATGACTTGTGAGTTATCTACAAGGGTGCCCAATTACAGACTATTTGTGCCAGTGAAGAAACTAGAATTAAACTAAACACCCAACAACAAGGAAATGGCTACACAAATTATGGTATATCCATAAGATAAAATATTCTGCAGTGGGGAGAAACTAAGATGGCGGCATAGGGGATCACCGAGATTGCTGCCTCCTACAACAACTTCAGAAACACAACAAAAGGACAGGACGGTCAACATCTAGAACTACAGGAAGGCTGGCGGAGTGTAAATTCTACAACTAGAAGAAAAGAGAAAAACACATTGAGGGTCAGGAGCTGCAGAAGTAAAGTGCAAAGGTACGGAGGAAGGGGGCTGGTACCTGAGGACGCGGCTGGGGAGGGAGTTACAAGCTCCAGACTGCTCTGAACTCCGGTTCTGGGCAGTCTCTGGGGACCCAGGACTCATATGGGTA